TTTATGGCCTTTTGACCTGCAGAGGGCACAATAGCTCAGGGAAACATAAACAAAGCAGGCATTAGAATAACTTCTTAAATAAATAGTGAAATGGCTCCTACATATATGTTGAATGATGATAGGTGAACAATGTGTATAAATGTTTGTGAGAGACACAGCTTTAATGAGCTGTTACTATGGAGACTGAACACAAATTTAAAATGTTTTCAGTCCTTTATAAGTTTGAGCTCAGGTTCAATGGCCCACAAAATCATTTGAATAATGCTATGTGAGTCATGCGACTTTTAGAATTTTACCTGAAAAGCAAAGATGACAGTTTGTATTTGTATTTGAAATTAATTCCAATTTGAATATTAACAGATCCAGCAAAATTTTGGAAAACTGTCCAGACACATCTTTCAGGTGCTAAAGAAGCATCTCCAACATGGGAAAGGTCAGTTTTAATTTTTTTTTATCGTGTGTTGTTCTCCTACGCATTGTTTTTTCAGACTTTCAGGAGTCGGTATTATTTGTGCTGGTATTATGATGTGAAAACAGGTTTCTGTGAGACTTGTTCTAACTAAATCATACATAAAGCTCAAGTTTTTTTTCTKAAGCATGAGAACAATTTAGACCAACAGCTATTGATAAAAAACAATAATTCTCAAATCAATCCATTGTTTGAAGTTGAAATGGTTTTCAAATACATGTAATGACAACAAATTAATTTTTTTTTTATAGCTTGTCTTTAAGATATTGATTTTTATTTAATTTCTATCATTTATCATCTAACATTACTAAGTTAAGCCCAGTGTCCATGTGTCACTCACAATGATTTTCAGTGTGTATTGAATGTTATACTCACGTGACATGGAGCAGTAGTTTGATGAWTGTTTTTCTTTTTTGTCTTCAAATTCATTAGAACTATGTGTGGATGCTTGTCCAGGAGCCAAACCCTAACCAGCCTGACAGCCTTAGGTGGATTCTGAAGATGGTCCCAACACTAACCCACAACAGTCCTAAACCCAAACCCTCACCCTGCTCCTCACCCTGCTCTTCATCTGGCTCCTCATCTGGCTCGTCATCTGGCTCCTCACCCAGCTCCTCACCCAGCTCCTCACCCTGCTCCTCACACGGCGCCAGCCGTTTCAATGCAGACTGCCCCAGACCTACAAAAAGAAAAAACACCCTGCCATCTGAGACATCAGGTTCCGTGCCAAAGCAGGTGAATGGCCATAAAATATGGATTTTTGTTTAATTTCTATCATTTATCATCTAACATTACTAAGATAAGCCCAGTGTCCATGTGTCACTCACACTGATTTTCAGTGTGTATTGAATGTTATACTCACATGACATGGAGCAGTAGTTTGATGAATGTTTTGGTTTTTGTCTTCAAATTCATTAGAACTGTGTGAGGACGTCTGTCCAGGAGCCAAACCCCAACTGGCTTGACAGCCTGAGGCAGATTCTGAGGATGGTCCCAACACCAACCCACATCAGCAGCCCTAAACGCAAACCCTCACCCTGCTCCTCACCCAGCTCCTCACCCAGCTCCTCACCCTGCTCCTCATCTTGCTCCTCACCCTGCTCCTCAACTGGCTCCTCATCTGGCTCCTTATCCAGCTCCTCATGTAGCTGCTCA